TGCATGTGTGTTCCCGCTCATGTTTTTTGCGTGTTCTTGTCACACATAGGGCAGCTCATTCCTTATGTGCAACAAATGTGCCAAAGAAGCTCCTCCATGGTTTTCGGCATCAAGCTTTGCCCAATTTTTCATGTGCGTTTTGCCGCAATGTGTTTTTTTGTCACGCAACAATCAAAGCTAAATCAAACCACATTTAGGGTGCCATTAAAGTGTAAGTAAACTCCCACTGGACACTTGTACTTAGATGTATGCTTATAATAAAGCTTACCTGTAGGTACAAGCAGGGGCGGACTGACCATTTGGAAACTCAGGCACTGTCCAAGGGCCCGGGGTCAGTAGGGGGCCCCATGAGATGTCCCTGGTACCTTTTTCATAGGCTTTTTTGTGTTTGGGCAAGGACACAGGGGCCCCATGATCCCCTATTGCCCGGGGGCCCCATGAGTTGTCAGTCCGCCACTGAGTACAAGCAATATCTCCTAAACATGCACCGCTTAGGAGATATTCAGTGTCCCGCAGCCGATGACATCACCGGCGTATGTGCTCTGAAGGAACGGCATACCCATCAGAGCTCAAACGAGACTCCTGCGCATGTGACGTCACATGTCACATCATTGGGGCTCGGCCAGTTAAGCGGCCAGAGCCCACAAACCCGGAAGGAAGACAGGATGAAGATGAAAGCTTTGTCAGCAGTGACAACACACCACTGGAGGGTTTCGTTCTAAGGTAAGTCTTTCATAATGTGGTAGTATGTGATGCATTGTAACGGAACCGGACCCAGACTGCACTTGGGTATTTCCGTTAGACTCCCCGCTTCCCTGTCCCAACACATTATCCACGGACCCCACCGCTGACCATACAGGAAATAGACAGCACCAGACTCTTCTTAAGACAGGAAGTCAACTGCTTTATTTTTCCACAGACACAAGATATAAACATTCAAGGGAACAAGCCACCTCCCTGCATAAGGACACAGGGCGGGGCAAACCAAATTTAGCAACCAGAGACACATCCCAACAGACAGTCCCATCAGGAGGGCTGCTGGAAACACCCCCCACCAAGTCAATACACAAACACATAATAGAACAATGGGACCACATGGCAGTAAACAATGAACAACCCCCACACCCCACCTATACATGTTTATACAATATCAGGACAGACCACCCTGTACCCCTAACAGGCACAGGGTGGGTTACACACAAGAGGAACAACAGGGGTCCCCCCACCCCCAAAAGTCACTCCCGTCACATGCATGCTATCACATTATGACATTCTTTTGCAGGGGGAAATGTTTTTTAAAATTTTTTTTGGTGGTTCACTATGTTTTAAGAATGACATTTTTTTTTCAAAAGAAAAATAACATATCGATACCAAAAATTGAAATAAAAGTTAAAAAAATAACACAAAAACAACTATGAAATGTGATTAGAGGTATGAAGCATTATCTGCTCTTTGACTACCAGGCCACATACTAGTCCAGACAGGTACATGAGTTCCAGTGAAATTGTATAGGGGATCATTGCCCCAGGATAAGCATGGAGATGAGGAGTGAGAGGAGGACTTCTACCACTGGAGGCTGTCGAGAAGCCGAAAGTGAAACTCCAGTTTTGTATCAAAGTACACAGTCCAGCAATATTAAATATAAAATATAAAAAAAAACAGCTTTTCCTGCTATACTTACCTTCAATCTGGTGCTCTCCCACATAGAAACTCTACCCTAACACTAGATATTGCCAGTCTTTCAGCTTAAAGTGGAGGCTGTCAAGAACTCGAAAGTGAAACTCCAATTTTGTATCAAAGTAATATTAAATATTAAAAATAAAATATAAAAAACAGCTTTTCCCGCTATACTTACCTTCAATCTGGTGCTCTCCCACACAGAAACTCTACCCTAACATTAGATATTGCCAGTCTTTCAGCTTAAAGTGGTAATAAACCTAAACACAAAAATGTATTATTTTGCAACTTAGCAATCATTAAATGTGGTAATTGCATTTGTTTTTTTTAGGCTTTTTTCTTTAAATCTTTTAATTTTCAACTTTCATTAGCAGACAAAGCTGTCCTGCCAAGGTGTCGGTTAGAGGTTGAGACAAACCATTTACCATACAATGATCAGCATTTATTTCTTTATATAAAACCTTTATCCTAATAGGAAAACAAGAAACTGTTGTTGTAACTGCTTATAGAGTGTTAGCTGGAGTTCAGCTTTAATTTGTTCCATCTAAATCAGCTGGTGCATCTAACACTGCCTTCTACACAGATTGACAATGCTGCTGTCCAAAGGTGTCTCCATCCAGAGGGAAGATATCCTAAGAAAGGATGTGTGTTACTGGTAGGATCACCAGTGGAAAATAAAGGGAAAAAAAGCTTAAAGTTGTTGTAAAGGCTCAAGGTTTTTTATCTTTATGTATTCTATGCATGAAAGTAAAAACCTTCTGTGTGCAGCATCCCCCCCAGCTCCCCAAATATTCACCTAATCTCTCTCGATCCGACGATGTGCACTGGACTTGGCTATCCCAGGGCTCCCTGTCCTCATTGGCTGAGACAGCCAGTGAGCCAATGAGGAGACAGAGGGGGCAGGGTTGAGGCACAGCTTCATGTGTGAATGGACAAGGAGCATCAGGTGCTCCCATAGCAAGCTGCTTGCTGTGGGGCACCCAACAGGAGGGAGGGGCAGGAGAGCCTGCAGGGGACCTGAGAAGAGGAGGATCCAGGGCTGCTCTGTGCAAAACCACTCACACAGCAGGTAAGTACAGACATGTTTGTTATTTAAAAAAAAAAATGTAAGGCTTTAGTATCCCCTTAAGGCTCCATGCACACTGCAAGCTAAAAAAATGCCAGAAAAACACTGGATGAAAAACGTTCAAATAGCGTTTTTGTGCCAGCTTTTAGCAGCAGTTAGCATCAGTTAGGAGCTTTTTCTTCTGCTCCTAGAAGCTGAAGCTCCAAAAACACTTCTAGACTAAAACAATGTCCATGCACACATAGGATAACACTACTTGCTTCTAGAAGCAGCAAAAAAAATGCTATAAAGCTGCTGCTATGAGCGCTTTTTAAAGCTAGTGCATGAAACCTGGCTCAAAAAACTCCATACAACAGCCTTTTTTCAACCAAGGTGCCCAGGCCCCTGGGGGAGCCTTCAGGATTCTTCACGGGTGCCTTGGCAAAATGTCCTAGAAATTGCCCAAAAACTGTATACAATCCAGCGGGTGGATGAAGCTTGCCTTTTAGGTAAAAGATTTCATTGTGCACCAGTACAACCTTCCACCCGCCAATGTCCTAACAACCAATTACGTCATCGGTTGATAAGGATGGTGTCGGGCCCCTGCACAACATCCTTCTTTACCCCTCACTGTCAGCACTGGGTCACATTAGCTGAGTGAAGAGTAGAAACTGAGGGAGAAGGTGTGCAAAGGTGTATTTGCTTTGTAAGAGTAAATCACCTCTAAGGTTGGGTGTCCTACCTGTTTGAATGTTGCTGTGTAAGGTAAAACTATTCGTTTAGTTTTTTCATTTTAGAATGGGATGCCTCAAGATTGCGCAAAATTTTAAAGAGCGCCTTAACTGAAAAAGATTGAAAAACACTGCCATGAAGGGTAATGGATAGTCCAATTGGGTCCACCTGAAAAATGGACAGGTGGACTCCATTGGTCCGTGTGAAAGGGGCCTAAGAGCATGGACATATAGTGCCAATATGGGACAGGCAGACACAGCTGGAGGTGAAATGAGCTGTAGACCAAAACCCAGCAATGAGTGCCCACAAGGGGAAAATGCACAAAGCCTAAGAGCATGGACATATAGGGGTTTATTTACTAAAGCTGGAGAGTCCAAAATCAGACTCCCTTCTGCATAGAAACCAATCAGCTTCTAACCTCAGCTTGTTCAATGAAGCTTTGGCAATGAAACCTGGAAGCTGATTGGTTTCTATGCAGAAGGGAGTCTGATTTTGGACTCTCCAGCTTTAGTAAATAAACCCCATAGTGCCAATATGGGCAAGTAGACAGCTGGAGGTGAAATGAGCTGTAGACCAAAACCCAGCGATGAGTGCCCACAAAGAGAAAATACACAAAGCCTAAGAGGGTGGACTTTGGTCTAAAGCTCATTTCACCTTCAGCTATGTCTGTTTGCCTAATATTGGCACTCAGTCGTCAAGAACCTATTGTGTCATGTGATAGGAAGGAGTCACATGATCCTAATACCTAGAAGTATTGGAGGAGCAAAGGAACAAGCTCAGATTCACCTGAAGGTTCTATTTTTGTTTTTGAAGGACAACTCTTTGGAAACAAATCAAGGAAGCACCAAACATCATTAAAACAGAACTAAACTCTCTCGATCAACATTAACTATGCTTAATCCTTCTGCTATTAGCTGAAGTAAATAGATAGCAAGGTATATTATATTTACTTGTTTTAAGTTTATTTTACATTTCTTCAGTTGCTTCCTGGTTTCTGGCCTAGGCCAAAATTATATCATACATCCCAGGTGTCTTTATTTGCTTTTTGGTTTTCATCTGGAAAAGGGGAGGGGCTTTCTCAGCTAAGCACACCCTCCTGTCTGCATGCCTGACCCAAGGGCAGATGGATTCCTGGAAGTAAATGCTACATAAATCATCTGCCTTTACTCATGATGGCTAGAAATGGCAAGGGGTGTTTTTCTGATTCATTTACTGATTTATCAACAGAATAAAGACAAGGATGGATGGATGAGTTTGCTTTAAATAAATAAATATTAATTAAATAGCATTTTAAGTTTGCAGTGCTCAGATATAGTTAAAGTGTTACTAAACCCACAACTGTAAAATCAGTCTGTATATGCAGTAAAGCATGCTTGTTATACTCACTGTAGAACTTAAGGGGTTAATCCTCCACATTGTGTAAAATGGCTGTTTGATCCTGTCTTCTCTGACCCTCCCTTCCTCCACTGTCCCTAATACACCTGCTGATAGCGGAGAGCTCTAGGTGTCACTCTGCACATGCTCTTTTTAGTGCGTATGGCTAGAGGTTTTTTTCTTCTTTGGCAGGGTGCATGTGATCAGCACATGGCCAATCAGTGCTGTCCAGACAGACGTCAGGGGTCCTGCAGCCTCATAAGACAGTCAGAGCAGAATGAAAACTCCTCCTACAAGATTATCAGTGCTCTGCTGGACACTGATAGAAGTCACAAGACTGCTCTGACTGCTGATGAGAAAAGGTATTTAGCAGTTTATATTTACTAAAATAATTGCATTTCCATGTTGTGTGTACTGTGGGAGGCCAGATATAGTGAATGCAGGGTCCGGGAGAACAGATATAGTGAATGCAGGGTCCGGGGGGTTTTGATTAGTAACACTTTAAGGTCCAGTTTAATTGGACAGAAACAAATGTATCATTAGCTTTTCAAGCTAATATGTTGCAAAGTTATTTTGGCATTACAGAACATCAAACAGAACGTTTCTAAGCGCTGTAACCATTGCGTTGACTAATTCAGTTTTACTTTTTCTGTCATGTCATTAATAGATTGTGTGGCCAACCGGTTAACTAATGATCATCACCCTAACATGTCTTCCTTTGTTAGTACAATAACGGCTGCAATTTGTCCCAATAAATCACTGTGAATAGGTTGCTTCATCTTCCATCCATCAAATTGTTTAAGTCAACAAACCATTAATTAAGAACATAAACGCTCTGCAATCGGCTGCTCCGTCAATGGCTGCCTCTTCTGACTAGGTGAAGCGTTGGCTGGTGACCAGAGTTGAGGCTTTGACATTGGCATGGGCCGAAAAAAAAAAGAAGAAAAGCCTGCAGCAGATTAGGCCAGACTTGACGTGATGTCATCGCCAATCTGCCTCAGTTTATTAACTTTCAGAAAATGTTAGGGAAAAATACGAGGAATAATTAATACTTGTTTAAAGTCTTCGGTGTGTCTGGGCCAACGCAGTGTTTTGTTTAACCGAAAAGCTGACGGTTTCACTCAACGCATTAATGTCTAAACAGAGGAAAAGAGCGAATGGGCCGTCACTTATCTCAAACACACCACGTCGTGGAATGTGTTGTATGTAAGCTTGGCTTTCTTGCATGGACGGGACTTATTCCTTTTCATCCCGGTGTTATGTCTGCTTAGGAAAACATACAAGACAGTTTTGCTTTCTTTTCAGAGAAATGTTGTTCTTAAACATGCTGTAAGGTATTTATTCCATTTTTACTGAGAGTGAAAAATGATTTGCTGGAGAAATCTAATGGTGGCTCAGACCCATTGATAGAGGAGTTATGAACAGAAAAGCTGGCAATGGGGAGGATGACCTATAACTCAAAGAAAATTGGCACATGCAGCCAGGTATAACGCTGTGGTCCTAAAAGGATTGGCTGCCACAATGGGCACTAAGATTGAATGCTGAACTCCAGGTAAACATATGAACTACATATGGGATATTTTCTACCTACCAAAGGATTTGTATTTCTTTATCTATCCAGTTCTGAGATTTATACAGCTCTGCCACACACAAGAAAATTTGCACGTGGAGCCAGGGGGATTGCTATGGTCCTACAAGGCCCAGTTGCCATAATGGGCACCACAATTGAAAACTGAGCTCCAGCCAAACAGATGAACTACATATTGTATATGGGAGATGTTTTACCTGCAAAAGGATTTGCATTTTTATTCATCCAGTTCTGAGATTTATACAGATCTGCCACATACAAGAAAATAGGCTCATGGAGCCAGGGGGATTACTACATTCCTAAAAAGCTTGGCCCCAATGGGCATCAAGATTGAAAGGTGAACTCCAGGCAAACATATGACCTACATACATGGGAATTGTTTTACCTGCCATAAGATTTGTATTTCTTATCTTTTACATTCTGAGATTTATACAGCTCTTCCGCACACGAAGATTGTTGTATGGAGCCAGGGGTATTGCTGGGGTTCCACATTTTGTTGTGTTACAACCAAAAACGTAAATGTATTTTATTGGGATTTTATGTGATAGACCAACACAGAGTGTCATAAAATTGTGAAGTGGAAAGAAAAATATAAATGGTTTAAAAATATATTTTTACAAATAAATATGTGAAAAGTGCAGCATGCATTTGTATTCAGGCCCCTTTACTCTGATACCCCTAACTATAATCTAGTGGAACCAATTGCCTTCAGAAGTCACCTAATTAGTAAATAGAATCCACCTGCGTGCAATTTATTTTCAGTATAAATACAGCTGTTCTGTGAAGCCCTCAGAGGTTTGTTAGAGAACATTAGTGAACAAACAGCATCATGAAGGCCAAGAAACACACCAGACAGATCAGGAAAAAAAGTTGTGGAGAAGCTTAAAGCAGGGTTAGGTTATAAAAAAATATCCCAAGCTTTGAACATCCCACGATGCACTTTTCAATCCATCATCTGAAAATAGAGAGTATGGCACAACTGCAAACCGACCAAGACATGGCCAAGGAGAGCATTAATCAGAGAAGTAGCCAAGAAGTCCATGATAACGCTGGAGGAGCTGCAGAGATCCACAGCTCAGGTGGGAGAATCTGTCCACAGGAAAACTATTAGTCGTGCACTCCACAAATCTGGACTTCTTATGAAAGAGTGGCAAGAAGAAAGCCATTTGTTGAAAGAAAGCCATAAGAAGTTACGTTTACAGTTTGCAAGAAGCCATGTGGGGGACACAGCAAACGTGGAAGAAGGTGCTCCGGTCAGAGGAGACCAAAACTGAACTTTTTGGCCTAAAAGCAAAATGCTATGTGTGGTGGAAAACTAACACTGCACATCACTCTGAACCGTGAAACATGGTGGTGACAGCATCACGTTGTGGGGATGCTTTTCTTCAGCAGGGACTTGGAAGCTAATCAGAGTTGATGGGAAGATGGACGGAGCCAAATACAGGGCAATCTTAGAAGAAAACCTGTTAGAGTCTGCAAAAGACTTGAAACTGTGGTTCACCTTTCAGCAGGACAACGACCCTAAATTCACAGCCAGAGCTACAATGGAATAGTTTAGATCAGTGGTCTCCAAACTGCGGCTCAGGGGCCAGATGTGGCCCTTTGCTTGCTTTTATCTGGCCCTTCAAGCACTTTTTCTCCCACTGATGCAAGACACTATTCCTGCCACTGACACCACCAAAAGGGCATAATTACTGTTACTAACACCAACGATGGAGCACTATTTCCCCTCCTAATGCCAAAGATGCATTGTTTACTCCAGGGGTGTCAAACTAGCGACTCTTCAGCTGTTGAGAATTACAAGTCCCATCATGCCTCTGCCTCTGCCTTTGTAACTGTCAATCTTGCAATGCCTCATGGGACTTGTAGTTTGGCAACAGCTGGAGGGCTGCCAGTTTGACACCTGTGGTTTATTCCCACTGACAGCAGTACAATTTATACTTCCAATGGCCACAATCCGGCCCCCTTAAAGTCTGAAGGACAGTAAACTTATTTAGAAAGTTTGGAGACCCCTGGTTTAGATCAAAGCATATTCATGTATTAGAATGGCCCAGTCAAAGTCCAGACCTAAATCCAATTGAGAATATGTGGCAAAACTTGAAAATTGCTGTTCACACACTGTCCATCCAATCTGACAGAGCAAAGAAGAATGGGCAAAAATGTCCCTCTCTACATGTGCAAAGCTGGTAGAGACATCCCCAAAAGACTTGCAGCTGTAATTGCAGCAAAAGGTGGTTGACTAAGGGGGATGAATACAAATGCACGCCACACTTTTTGGATATTTATTTTCCTTCCACTTCACAATTATGTGCCACTTTGTGTTGGTTTATCACATAAAATCCCAATAAAATACATTTACGTTTTTGGTTGTAACATGACAAAATGTGGAAAATTTCAAGGGGTATAAATATTTTTCAAGCCACTGTATGGGAGTTGTTTTACCTTCTAAAGGATTTGTATTTTTATCCATCCAGTTCTGAGATTTTATACAGCTCTGCCACACGCAAGAAAATTTGCTCAAAGAGCCAGGGGGATTGTTATGGTCCTATAAAACTTGGGGCCATGATGGATGCCAAAGATGAACTAAATATATGAGAGTTGCTTGACTTGCCAAAAATTTTATTTTTATCCATCCAATTCTAAGATTTATACAGTTTTGCCACACAACGTAGCCCTGCCTGACAGGGGAGGAGACCTGATTTTTCTCTGCTGCAGTTAAAGAGAAAATTTGGTTTGTTTTTTTACTTTATTAAAAGAAGTGTCTTGTTGCAGCCAACTCTTTGTACTGCTGCGGGTTCCTGGCACCGCCATCCTTGTCTAGGCAAGCAATCTGGAAGTGGGTGCCAATAAATATCGGTACTCTTTCCTCCCCCCCCCCCCCAAACAATACCTGTAACTCAGTTACAGGCTGGGGGGAGTGAGCGAACCAGTGAAACTTCATTTTTTGAGTGAATTTCCACTTTAAGTAACACAGGGGCTGTGACTGGACAGTGAAAGAAAAAGCAGCAGACTGATGAGCTCATCTTTCCTCTCCTGCTTATTAGCATGCCTCTTGCTGACACATGAGCAATGCAGCACAACCAACTGGCTCTGTGTGCTGCTTCTCCCATTCCCAATCTGAGCTTTGCTGTACAGGGAGATGGACACCACATGAAACTCAGGTACATACACTGCTTTTATTTAACAAACACATACAGTAGTATTGATGAATAGAAAGTAACATTCATTTGTGTAATTTAGGTTCATCTAGGAATGCCCTTGTAAGAGCAACCATCTCTTCTCTTACCCCTCTACTCGGGGCTAGACTATTTTCGCCCTATGCAAGACCAGCTACTTGCGCCCCCCCAAAAAAATTAAAAAATAAAATAAAAAATACAAAATTTAAAAAACAGTAGAAAATTATAAATTAAAACAAAATGCTAAATCTCTTTTAAAAAAGTGCCATAAATAGCTCTGACAGATCCGAGGCTGGAATTCCCAAGGCAATGGGGGGGAGATAAAACCCTGTGACAGCAGGCATCCCAGTCCACACAAACAGAGATAACACCTGAACTGAGCGATCCTATACAGTGACAGATCCGACACAACACACCACCACAGATCAGTAGACTCAGGAGGCACTAGAAGAGCAAGCTTTGGGATCGTGATGATGTCATCACTCCCTGACACATTGCACATGTGATGGATGGCCGGCCAGGTCACATTCACACAAGACATCTGAGTCAGACATTACCTTCTCCGCAGGCGCAGCTCTGCCTCCACTGATGAATTGGAAGAGAATTGCTGGAACTCCACAGTGATCAGCAGCCAACAGCCGGGTTGCAGTAAGGCACTGAGTCTGAGAGGAACACTGGAAGGAGCGG